TTTGTATTGTTCTCTTTGTTTCTATTTGGTTGATTTAGGCCCTGAGTCTGACTGTTTCTTGCAGTCTACTCCTCTTGGGTGTGTTTGCTTCTTTTTGTTCTAGAGCTCTCAGGTGTGCTGTTAAGTTGCTAGTGTAAGAGCTCGCCAGTTTCTTTACCAGGGCACTTAGTGCTATGAATTTTCCTCTTAGCAAGTTTGGGTATGATGTGTCAACATTTTCATTAAAGTCCAGGAAGTCTTTAATTTCTTTCTTTATTTCATCCCTGACCAGGTTATCACTGAGTAGAGAGTTGTTCAGTTTCCATGTGTATATGGGCTTTTTGTTGTTTTTGCTGTTATTGAAGACCACCAGTCTTAGGTCATGGTGATCTGGTAGGATGCATGGGATTATTTCAATCTTCTTGTATTGGTTGAAGGTTGTTTTGTGATCATAAAGGTGCTGAGAAGAAGGTGTATTCCTTTGTTTTATGGTGAAATATTCTGTAGATATCTGTTAAATCCATTTGGTTCATAACCTGCATTAGTTTCACCGTGTCTCTGTTTAGTTTCTGTTTCAATGACCTTGTCCATTGCTGAGAGTGGGGTGTTCAAGTCTCCCACTATTATTGTGTGGGGCTTAATGTGTGTTTTGAGCTTTAGTAATGTTTCTTTGATGAATGTGGGTGCCCTTGCATTTGGAGCATAGATCTTCAGAATTGAGAGTTCATCTTGGAAGATTTTCCCTTTGATGAATATGAAATGTTCTTCCTTATCTTTTTTGATACCTTTTGGTTGAAAGTCTATTTTATTGGTTATTAGGATGGCAACTCCAGCTTGTTTCTTGGGACCATTTGCTTGGAAGACCTTTTCCCAGCCTTTTACTCTGAGATAGTTTCTGTCTTTATTATTGAGGCGTGTTTCTTGTATGCAGCAAAATCTTGGATCTTGTTTGTGTATGCAGTCTGTTAGCATATGTCTTTTTATAGGGGAATTGAGTCCATTAATATTGAGAGATATTAAAAACAGATGACTGTTGGTTCCTGTTATGTTTGGTTTTGTAGGTGGCTTTATGTGCTTGTGGTTCTCTCCTTTTGGCTTTGCTGTAAGAAGTTTAATGTCTTTGGTGTAGGTACCTTCCTTGTGTTGGAGTTTTCCTTCTAGGTTCTTTTGTAGGGCTGGATTGGTAGATAGATACTGTTTGAATTTGGCTTTGTCCTGGAATATTTTGGTTTCTGTATCTATGTTGATTGAGAATTTTGCTGTGTATAGTATCCTGGGCTGGCATTTGGTGGTACAGTGGTAAGCGTAGCTGCCTTCCAAGTCATCATTTCTTACTAAATCAGCAACTTCATGGCTGCTTTGTCCACAGCCAGTTTGGCTAGTTCTAATCAGTTTTCAAAGGAAAGCAAAATGAAGCTGTTAACTGTAAATAGAGTTGTGTCACTCTTAGACACAAGATTAGATTCCCATTGTTTTTAAGAATAAGATTTTTGCCAGGCAGAGGTGTCACACACTTTTAATCTCAGTGCTCAGAATGCACAGGCAGACAGAGCTCTGAAATTGAAGCAAGCCTCATCTACAAAGTGAGTTCCAGGATGTCCAGGGCTACACACGGGGTAGGGTGGGGTGGGAGTGGGTGGGTAATAGATTTTTATTTTACTCTCCAAAAGGGATGGAAGGACCTACATTAGCTTTCAGTGACTCTCTGTTAGTCTGGGTTTTAATTTTGCTTTTTATTTGTTCTTGTTTAAATAACAAAATACCTGAGAAAACAACTTAAAGAGGGGAAATAGTCATAAATTTAAATGTGTCAGTTCAAGTTGTTTTAAGTAGGCTTTAGGAGTTTTTGGTAAAGGCTGCTTATGTCATTGCACCGGTGAAGCAGGAAGACGACAGACAGGAAGGGACAAGGACAAGATCTCAGCTCCCAGAAACCTGCTTCTTCCAGCTACCTCCACCCCAAAGTTTCACCTATCTTCCAAAGTTGGGCCACCACCTGGGGTCCAAGCCTTTAACATTTGGTGGCTGGGGGCCATGGGAGATGGCATGTTCTAGCCACAACAGGCTGCCATAGCAAAGTGACACAGATGTACTTAAGCATGAAGTTATTTCTACACTTCTAGAGTAGAAGACCCAGATCAGGCTGTGGAGCATCGGGCTTCTTCTGAAACCACTCTTCTGGGCTAGAAAATGACCATCTCCCACTGGTGTCTTTACATTGTCTTTACCTTATACACATATCTATCCTTATCTCTGCTTTAAGAGATGCTGGCTTAGGGCCCACTCTTCTGACTACTCTTCCAATACATCTCCAGTTCTGTCCACAGGTGCAGTTACATTTGTGCTTCAAGGGTTAGTGTTCTACTGTGTGAGTTCAAGGGAGATGCTGTTCAGCCCAGAACAGATCTTGAGTTATAGGACTGGGGAGGAGGAACAAGTAGAACTTAGGACTCCACAGCGTTTCTCTGGACCTGGGAGCCTGCTGTCTACACTGTTGGCATCAAGCTGAGCTATTGCTGGGTCAACACATCTAAGGCCATCCTTTCGTGTTGGGACAGCCACTCACTTTCTGGTGGCAGTGGTAGACAGGAAGCAGGTGGAGAATCCCTCATCTAATTTCAGTCCATGAAGCTACTTTAGCTGGTCTTTTTAATTACTTTCTTCCACAAAATCTGTTGTTACAGCTGAGGTGACAGAGTTGAATTTCAACCTTTTCTCTCTCAGCAGAGATGGTAGTGAACCGTGAATTGACTCAAAAGACAGAAGGATATAAAATCAAGGAAAAGATGTTAAATATCCAGTTACCCCAAAGAGCAGCATCCCCAAAATTCTGAATCTCCTTGACTGTAAACTATTTTCTTTCTTCTTTGTTGGGTGAGAGTAGCCACTGATTTGTATGGATGTTAAAGTGGAGAGAGGCTGTTAAAAGCTTGCTTTCCTTAATGGACAAAACTTCCATACCTTGTGTAGACAATGAAAGAGAATGTCCACAGATACTCTCCTCTGGCCCCCAGGAGTGCCAGACATACACATGGGCATGGACATATATGCAGGCACATTCATATACATAGTTTTTAAATTTTTCGATAGGACATAAAAACAGGGATTGTTCTTGTAATCTTCCTGTGAAATGACATCCAGATCCTTTTGCCTGCACATCTGAGTCTCCATACAGATTTTTATAACGAAAGCACTACTCCCCAAACTCTTACAAATCTTCGTTTTACTAGGACCAAACTTGGGTCCTCTGTGAGAGCAGTTAGTCATTCCTAACAGCTGAGCCATCTCTTCAGCCTCTACCTTTAACTTTAATGAACCTTCATGCTTATTTTCTTTTAATATTTTTATTTTTAATTTTGTATTTGTGGATTTGTGCACTTTAGTGCAGTGCCCTTGGAGGCCGAGAGAAGCCATCATCTAGTGGAGCTTGAGTTTCAAGAAATTGTGAAACACTTGAAGTGAGTGCTGGGAACCTAACTCATTTCCTCTGGAAGAGCAGCCAGTGCCGTCAGCTGCTGCGCCATCTCCATCCCCAGGCTTTTCTGGGGGATGCTCCACTTTAAAGTCTGGCTGCTAGTGTGCAGGTCTCCCCACGCACCTTGCTTTGTCATTTTTAAATATTTTTTCCAGTCATAGCTATTCCACTGGTGTACACTGATGTGTCTAGAGTTCTCACAGACATATTCTGGGCTGTGTTTTGTTAGTTCAGTGCCTTTGTAGACGAAGGATGACTTAGTGTTTTCTAGTCTGCTGCACGCTGTCACAGTAGCTATGATTGTTTAATAAGCACATTCCATTATTCCTTCCCCTAGTGTAACATTTTAGGAAACATCACCTTAAAACAGAGCAAAGCAGAGTACAGCCTAATCTAGTGCTAGGTTTAGGGTTAGGCGAACCAGTTATTTTTATATAGTTGTTTCCCACTTATTCCCTCTTAGCTTTGACATGGAACTGAGAGAGTAATCCCGCTTCCAACTTCAGGGAAAATATTGTATCACTACATCATGCTGGTTAGACTTTTGTATGTTTAATGATGTGTGCCAGTCAGCCAGTTGTTTTTTTTAATACAGTCCACAACTGTCATAATTTAGACCATTCCTAAGGGACCAGGCTACACAGGTGATAAGCTTCTCATTCTCTAAGGCTTAAGTGGGTACCAGAGAAAGTAAAGAACTGTGCAAGTTGGTCCCCTAGTGCTTAGGGGTTGACCGGGTTAAGTACTAGAGTTAATGTCTGTTTATAACAGCTTCCCTCCCACCTCTTCAGTCATGATGCTCATTCCATGTCATGTGACCAAAGCAGAGGGCTCAGTACATTCTTAGCATCCGGCCATTGGTTTTGCTTCTTCACAGAAACTTTGGATAAAATGCTTAGCAACACGGTGGCTTGTTGTTTCAGCTGGGTACTTACAGTTAAGTTGGTTGGGAATCCACTTAACTAGATCACTGTCAATAGAAACACAGGATTTATCTGCAGCACCCAGAATGGTTGTTCCAAAGCATTGAGATGGTGAATCTAAGATTCAATCTAAGTCCTGGCTTTGAAATTGTCGTGTTAATGGTTAGCTTTTGCTGAGTGTACATTAAAGAAGGTAACGATCTTAGCATGTCAAGATTGTAACTGTCAGGGCAGTGCTTGGATGCAGAGGCTGTGCCCATATGAGACATAAATGGCTGGATGAGTTCAATCAGATACGCTGTGTCCAGTGTCTGCGTAATGGTGTTTACTAGATTTTAAATTGACTGCTGAGAACGATGAAATATAATCCCTTGTATTATCTCTGTATTAAAAAAAAAGATAATTAAATTGTTCTCTTGCTAGCATGTATCTTATTGACTTTTGTGGAGTCAACTTAAAGGTGTCCTTGTAGAGTTGAAAGCTTTTGCTTAGGTGGAATGTTACTCAGTGATTTTTTTGAGTTCTAGGAATCCCATATTCCTAGACTAGCTGGAGAGTGGGAAATGCAGTGCACACTGCGTACAACTAAATGCTTTCCCTTTGTCTCTTTCTCTTTTTTACAGAGCATGGAGAAGGTTCTAGTGGAATTCAATCACAAGGAGTTGTTCGATTTCTACAACAAGGTCTGTGTTTAGAAATGTTTTCTAGTATGTAGAGGTTTCCTAATGCTTCCTTGGTTTAATACATTTTTATTTTGAATACCTTATTATAGGGACAAATTCTTTAAACTCCTGTAAACACCTCATATTTCACAGTAGGAAGAGGCAAAACCAAGATAAAGAGAATCGGAAAACTAATTCAGAAAGAAAATGAAAATTAAAGAGATGGAATTTGTATTTTATGTAGAACTAAGCAGGGCACTGTGTGTTCCCCATAGCCACTGGCCCATTACATGTAGACCACCTGACATACTAAAATGGCTGAGCCCAAGAGTAAAAGCTGCCGGATTTTAGGGATTTATCTTTGAGCATCTTTCATTTTTCTTTCCAGTGCATCTCACTAACTGTTAAAGTCTTACCATGTAGTGACAATTTACTAAAATAGCTGAGTGCACTTAAGACAGTAATACTTAAAAGTCTTCTTCCTTCATGAATGTAAAAACATTAAATGACAAGCCTAAATCCTAACATCTTTTCACATCGAGAAAAGCACCCTGAGTGTTACGTTATGCCGTGCATGGTTCACTGCACTGAATTCCTGCTGCCTCTGTTTCTCTTTTGTTTGCACATCTCTAACCATTTTGTGTGCAGTTTATTCCCCTCACTAACTGCTGTCTTTATTTTATCTGTGTAAATAGCTGGAGACCATACAAGCTCAGCTGGATTCCCTCACATGATGTTCTTGAAGACTGACTTCACATTCCGGCCACCTCACTTGCATTGAAGAGAGACTGCCCAAGTATATTTTCTAGAGGACTCAGTGACTTTATTCCTACAGATAATACAGCTTATTCCTTCTTAGACAAATAACAGTGAAGGGAGATCACACTGGGTTTCTAATGTACCTTCTTTCCTCACATGAACCAAGAGCAAGTGTTGAGAAAACTGTTTGAAAAAAGTAAAGAGTGAATGCCATACTGGTTTTTCTGTCAGATTGCTTTCAGGGATCAATGAAGGTCTGAAGGCAGAAGGCATGATGGATGCCTTAGCAGAATATGGAACCTTACCCATTACAGTAATTAATTAGGGAAGCAGCCACAGGCCATCATATGTTTTGGCACTTGTCCTACAACTTTATTTTGCTTAAGTTTTACTGCAAGGAAGAAATCTAACATGGTGCCAGTGTGCTATAAATTAATCCCACGGTGCCTCCTCTTGACTCCCCCCTAAATGTTTCTGACTTTAATGACTTAAAAATCATTTAGGTTTACATATACCTCTGCAAATTAATAACAGTGCACTTCTCAGTGTTTCAGATCGTGAATGAAAACTTTACCTGGAATGAGTATGACATGGGAATCTTACATTTTAAATCAGAAACTTTTTGCATTCTCCTTTTATGGATATGTTCATTGGTTTCAGTCAATAAAAAATTTCTACTTTAGAATTGTTTAAACTCAAGTGTACAATATTTTTATTTTATAATATATTTTAAGCCGTGACTCTATATAAATACATGATTTCCTGAAATGAAAAAAATCATCTGAAAATTGTGTTAGTGAAATGTCTTACCTTGTTTTCACAGGAAGGTAGGAGAGGCTCAGACATAAGCTTCTTCACATGAAGGAATGTGGTTTCAGAATGTCCTGTAGTTAAGCAAACAGAGCAACTACAGTTGAATACACTTCTCATGTGAGGGTCCTTGGTAAAACAGTGTTCACTTATCTCCAGTCAGTGCCCACTGTGTACCATGATACCCATACTTGTTCATGGAAGACTGTTGTTGCTTAGAATTGAAAGTTTGGATTATTGCAGAACACAAGTGTTATGGGTATTGTCCATAAATGGTTGATCCTAGGGGTTTTTAAGGCCCCAGTTGCCATTGTTATAGCTCAGTGTGGGTTATAATATAACCTGATACATTTCTTTCTATGGCTGATAGGGTCACTGTTACTTTCTTTTTCCTTAACAACATCTTAGTTAGGGTTTCTATTGCTGTGACAAAAGACCATGACCAAAAACAACTTGGAAAGGACAGAGTTTATCTCGCTTATAGCTCTGAAGTCCCACTCCATCACTGAGGGAAATCAGGGCAGGCACTCAGGGCAGGAACTGAAGCACAGGCCATCAAGGGATGCTGCTTACTGGGTAGCTCTTATGGCTTGCTCAGCCTGCTTTCTTATACAACTCAGACTGCCAACCCAGGCTTGGCACCAATCACAGTGAGCTGGGCCCTCCCACACTAATCACTAACAAAAGGCCCCCAGGCTTGCCTATAGGCTAGTCTTATGGAGGTATTTCCTCAATTAAGAGTCCCTCTTTCAGCTGGGCAGTGGTGGCACACGCCTTTAATCCCAGCACTTGGGAGGCAGAGGCAGGTGGATTTCTGAGTTCGAGGCCAGCCTGGTCTACAGAGTGAGTTCCAGGACAGCCCGGGCTATACAGAGAAACCCTGTCCCTCTTTCAATTTGCTTTCATCTTGACTAAGACAAATGATTTCACCACTGCCTTAGTTAGTGTTTCTATTGCTGTGATAAACTTACATGATCAAAAAGTAAGTTGGGGAAGAAAGGGTTTATTTCAGCTCACATTTCCACATTGAAATATCACTGAAGGAAGGCAGGGCTGGAATTGGCACCATGGAGCTGCTTATGTTCTCCCAGTGTCTGTCTCAGCCTGCTTTCTTCTACCAACACAGGAGCACCACAATGAGCTAGACCCTCCCACATCAATAATCAATCAAGAAAATGCCCTACAGGCCGATTCCATAGAGGCATTTACTTGATTAAGATTCCCTTTTCTCTAGCTTGTGTCAAGTTAACACAAAAACTAGCTAGCACAGCCATCCTGCCCAGGATAGCCATCACCTCCTGGGCCCAAGCAACACTACTTCAGCCTTCTCAAGAGGTCGGAGCTGAAGCATTCTTACCCAGCTTTCTCTTACCCTTTGTATGCTCTTATCTGACCAGTTTCCAAAGACTACCTGAACCCAGAGGTGCTATAAAGACCTTCTGTGTGTGAAAATTTAGATTTCTTTTGACCTTGCCAACAGTGACCATACAGATAGGTAGAAGTTTTTATCAGTTTAATCAAATTAAATTACCAATGTCTTAAGTATAATAATTAGAAATAAAGCTTTCTAAAAGTAGCTTATGTTTTTGCTCTAAAAAACAACATTCTCTGTATTATCCTAATTCAATATAGTCTTTCTTAAAGACACTAGAGAGCACATCAAGTGGCTTAAGTCCAGCAAGGCTATGGGGATAAAGACAAACTGGCACCTGCTCAGTTCAGCATATATGATCATGTGCCGTGTAACATGCTGGGTAATGACACCACATGTATGATAGATTGTATTGTGTCACTGTTGTATCGCTGCCTGGATGTGCAGTGGGCTAAGTCATGTAAGTTTCTTTAAGGCCATTCATTTTACATGCACAATGATGGAATTGTCTGATGGTAAATTTCTCAGAGCATAGTCTCATCCTGAAGCACTTGGGGGTTTACTAGAAAGAGAATTACTCATTAGAATGGGGAGCAAATACCTTCTACAGAGATTATGATGCCTCTGTGGTTATTTTAAATTAGGAAGTAAATAAACATAATGAACCAGTGTGAACCTGTGGAGTCTCATCATCCAGAAATGGCCATTAATAGCATTTTAGTGGGTTTTTCACTTTTTAAATTTCCTGTCCATACATTTTTTTTCTTATTCATTTTCTTCTTTTCCTAGCAAATTGAGGTTTTGCAGTAGTTTAAAATTTTATGTCATATTATAACTTGGGTATTCTTCATATCCTTATTATCCAGAAAATAATTTTAATCTACAGTAAATAAACCATCATTTGAATAAGTTAAACCTCCTCTATTGTTAGACATTTAGCTTATTTCTGCTTTTTAAAATGTTAATAAAGAACATGCTGACATACAGTGCTAGACCAGATACCTCTCTGTGTTGTTACCAGAGATGTTTAGAAGTGGAATTGCTTTTGCGAAAGCATGAAGATTTTCTGTTTTTATCTTTAATGCTAATCTTTATTACAATAGCAACAATTTCCCATTAAGGGCAAAAAATAGCTGGCTGTTCTACTTTGACATCTCAAACCCTAGACATATCCTTTTTATGTTTTTTATTTATTACTTTGAGAATTTCATGCAATATATTTTGATCATATTCTTCCCCCACCCCCAACTCCTCTGAGATGTGTCTCCCACCCAGTATCTCAGCTTCATGTTCTTTCTTTCTCTTAAAACAGACTTGTACCCTCTCCAGGACTTTCCCTTCTCCGAGTTGGGATTTTGACTGGCTTGACCTTGTGCAGATCCCATGCATGCAAAGTCTCTGTGAGTTCATGTGTGCCTCAGTCCTTGGAGTCCTCCACCACCTCTGACTCAGTCTTTCCACCTCTTCCACACAGATCCCTGAGCCTTGAGGGGAGTTTGATAAACTCATTCCTTTAGGGCTGAGAGCTCCAAAATCTCTCCCTCTCTGCATTCTGTCTATCTGTGGGTCTGTGTATTCCCTTCTACTGCGAGAAGCAGCTCCTCTGACGAGGGCTGAGAACCTCCCTGATCTATGTGTAGCGCAGAATGTCATCAGCACTCACTTGATCGCCAGGATTCTTTAGTAGGATAAAAGTAGGGTTAGAAGTGCATATTTGGTTGTGATAAATGGTTTGGTTTCTATATTTTCAGACAGGTGAATACATATAAAAATGCCTTAAGTGTGTTTATAGTTATTTCAAGGTCTCTGATATATATTCCCACATTGTTTTCCCAAACAGTTATCTCAGTGTTTCTGCTCCTTCCACCAATGAATAAGAATTCACTCCCCCAAGCTTTTCTATCAACCCTTTCCTCCTACCCCTAACATTCTCATTCACTGGGAATTATATAGTTTGTATCAGTCAACAGACTGAAGAAGGAAACACTGCTTTCTACTAGAAATATATTGTGTTAGTGATTCTTAGGACCTAAGAAAAATGTTTTGTTTAAAGATAGGCAGATGCGTACAGTGCAGTAAGTATAAGGGCCTTGAAGGTCAGATATTTATTTTCTTAATAACTATTCACCAAATAACATGTTGCCAAGAACTCTGCATACATAGCCACTGTGTTGACCATGATGAACAAAACAAACATACTCCCTACCCACTTGAAATACACTGTGAGGGTCAAGAAATTGGATAATCGTGCAGTACATTGACAGAGGTGAGGTAGGTATGATTGGATTTTATTAAGGAAAACTTCAACATGGAACCAAACCCAAGATAGTGGGTTTCAGGAAGGATTCTCTGGGGAGTGAGACTTGGATAAAATACAACGACAGAATGGAATTATAGAAAGAAGCATTTCAGACAAGACAGTCTGCTTTGTGCAACAGATACCCCAGAGGTTAGAAAAGACTTATTAGTGTATTTAAGAACCAACAAATGTGTGTGCCTATAGTGTGCAGGACAGCGGCCTAGAGAAGCTGCTATAGGTTTGTTTGTTTGTTTGTTTGTTTGTTGAGTACCTTTCCACACGGTCCTTCTCACTTTAAGAAATATTTCCCTCAGGCTGGGAAGATGGCTCAGTGAGTAAGTGCACTTGCTGCTCTGTCCTGCTAACCTGAGTTCAAGGCTCCAGACCACAGATGAAAGCAAGACAAACAATTCGAGCATCTGTGATCTCGGTGTCCCTGTGAGAGAGATGAGAAACAGAGACTGGTGCATCCCTGAAAACTCACAGCCTAGCTAGTTTAATGTGGGCAGTGGGAAACAACAGAGAGCCTGCTTCAAACAAGATAGAAGGCAAGGACCAGCACCTGAGCTTTTCCTCTGACCACGCAGGCACTGTTGCATAACCACAGCTGCACATGCACACAGAGCACACAATACTTTGATTTCATTTTGCCTTAAATAATGTCTTCTCTATTTGTTTGTTATACCAGGGGTCAGTGTGGCTCTGCTCATCATGTCTTTCTCAATAGAACTCCATTAGAACAGAGCTCTCTAGATGCCCAACTCACTCTAGAAACAACTGAACCTGTTAGGAGAGAGCATGTGGTTAGTGACATATGACAAGGGACTATGAGTGACTCAAGAAGTGACTGAGAATGTAGCCAGCAAGAATTGAGGCCCACAGCCCTATGGCCAGGAAGAAATCCTGCAAAGATCTCCAAGAGCTAGGTTACACAGTGTAGCGGATACTCTGTCATATGAGATTCTAAAAAGATAACTATTCTTCGACTCGTGACCCAGGTAATCATGATAAAATGTGTTGTTTTAACTTCTGAATTCATGGTAGTTTGTGACAGCACAGTGGAGAGCTAACACAACAGCTATACCATTTATGTATAATGCATGTCTACTTTTGCACCAACAGCAAAGTTGAGTTGACAGAGGCTCCCATATAATGTGCAAAGCCTACACTGCTTATCACAGGGTCCTTCCTGGGGGGAAGAAGTGTGCAGATA